AAGGTAAAATTTGAAAAGGCAGGGGAATGAAAGATGGATGAGATTAAGGTGGGGAATGGGGTTATGGCCCAGGAGGGTAGATGAAAAGTTAGAGAAAAATTTAGACCTGGGAAGGTGCTACTTATCCAGGGGAAGCTGGTAGTGAGAGGTTGGTGGAGAGCGGAACAAGTGGGTGGATGGAAGGAGGAAGCTTCTGGAGGGGACAGAAATCACTGGAGATTACTGAACAGAAGGCTGAGATCTGAGCCATGGCAGTGAGTATGGATGTGTTAGAGACAGAGGGGCAGGAGGTGGGAAAGGGGCTTAGGCAGCTCTTACAGCTTTTGCTGCAGCCTCTATAGGAAGTCACAGAGGCCTAATAAACACTAGGGTATAAAGGAGGGAGGGAGGGAGGGAGGGAGGAATGGGGTTAAACAGAAGGAAAAGTAGGGAGGGGAGGGGAAACAGGGAAGCAGGGAGGGGGAGAGGAGGAAAGGCAGGGAAGAGGCTTTTTCTAACGTTACCCACCCTGCCCCTTCAAAGGAGGGCACAAGCCCAAAGAATTCCTGCCAGAACAGGTCACTGTTGTTAATATAAGGGAAAGGAACACTGGAAGCCACTTTTGTGAAGATGATAAAATACCAGAGGATGTGAAGATTAGAAAATTCAACCCTGTGTGTTAACTTTGTAAGTTTGTAACATTTACAAAAAAATTTTTAAAATAATTTTTTATTTTTGTAAAAAAATAATTTTTTTATTCTATGAAAAAATAAAATTTTCATTTGAGTTGATTAAAAACAAGAAAAAAGGAAGTCATGAGGCCTTAATGAACCAGGGTGGTGGACCATATACTGAGGTATTAACTTCCTTAGGTATTTTAATTATCCATCAAAAATCTTTCTTTTCTATTAAAATAAATTTTGAAAATCTCAAGCAGAACTGGACTAATTTAGGGGAATTGAGGACCTTCTTATATCTGAGATCAAATCAGCTCTAAAGCAAATCCTAAAAAAGAGGCATTTAAAAATCTTTTCTAGAAGGTCAACATGTGTAGGTATGTCTGGCTTGGGGTGGGAGTGTGAAAGTGTTATTCATTCCTTCTCTCTTAACCAAAATTCCCTGCAGATGCTACCATCACAAGAATTTTTTTTTGGTGGTGGTGGTATCTTAGTTCCCCAACCAGGGATTGAATCTGAGCCACAGCAGTGAAAGCACTGAGTCCTAACCACTGGACTGCCAGGGAATTTCCAGGATTTTTTTTTAAAAAGAAGGCTGGGAGGAGCCTCAGAGATGATCTAATTTGCATATGACAAATAGGTTTTGTCTTGCATGCCAACGCCAATTCAGCAGTGTTGATAGTAGCTGGCTGCATTGAGGATTCTAAGGATACAAATGCTCTGGCTTAATGGAGAATTGTCCCAAAGAATTAGCACTGTCTTCCCTGGGCACATTTTGGGAAAAGCAGCACATGTGCTATGTACTTGCCATCCTTGATTCAAACCTCTTATTTTATAGTCAGAGAAGCTGTGTTTGAGAGGTTATGTAACTTTTCCAAGCTCACACAGATAGGAAAAACTAGAGTGTGCAGTGAAGTTAGTCTTGTCTAATTTCATGTCCGTTGTTCTTTCCACTATTCGTTACCAAATGGGGTCCCACTGTGGCCTCTCTTTTCACTAATTTGGGGTGTGTGTGTGTGTGTGTGTGTGTGTGTGTGTGTGCATGCATGCACACATGCGCCCATGGGTCTTGGAATGGAGAAAGTGGAGAGGACTGGCCCTCACCTCTGCTAAATCTCTTTCTCTTCTAAATCTGTGGGGAATGCACAGATGGGAATCAGCTCAGCCCTTCTGGGCATCAGCTTCCTCAGGGATCAAATGAGACCCAGTGGCCAGCCAATCTCTAAGGGCCCTTCGAGATCTGAAATAGTCTCTCTCGTGCCCTTTACACAGAGTAGCTACTCCAGGAATAGTTATTGAACTACAATGGAATTCCCTCCAGGATAGCAGCATTTGGCCTACTCACATTTTATAGGAAAGGAACAAGGAGGGAGGCACAGTGATGTGTCTTCGGACAACACTATTATCTGGGATTCTTCTCTCGATGAAACTGTCGTGTTCTGGACTGAACTGTGTCCCCTCAAAATTCATATGTTGAAGGCCTAATCCCCTGTGTGACTACATATGGAGAGAGGACCTTTAAAGAGGTAAAGTTAAACGAGGTCCTAAGGGTAGAGCCCTGATCCGACCTATGTGACTAGTGTTTTTATCAGAAGAGACCCCCGAGATGGGTATACACAGAGAAAAAGGCCAAGGAGAGAGGCCTCTTGAGAAACCAAACCTGCTGAGAGCTTGGACTTGGACTTCCGGCCTCCAGAACTGTGAGAAAATAAATTTTTGTTGTTTAAGCCACCCAGTCTGTGGTATTCTGTTATGGCAGCCCTACCAAACTAATACAGATGGTTTCCTTAATTATCCAAGGATGGAACTGGCGATCCCAAACTCCTTTGCTTTTTCCTCTATTATTAACCTTCTGAGCTCTGGACATTTCACAGATTGTTAGCGTCTCTATCTGAAGGGGACAAAGCTCCTCAGGAGATCTGGAGCAGAAGGAAGTGCATGGAATTTGTCAGTCAGAACACTTGAGGTTTTGGAAGGTGGCGAGGTCTCCACCAAAATTCATGGTCCCCAAAGAACCCAAACTTCCTTGGGAGGGGGCTGGGGGTCCTGTCCTCTTGCTTTTGAAAAACTACATTTTTGCTGCCCAGGACTGGCTACATGATTTGCAGGTTCAGTGAGAAATGGAAACATGGGGTCCCTTGTTCAAAAACGATTATTTCAAGATGGCAACAGTAGAGAAATTAACCCAGTGCTGGCCCTGTGCAGCTGCCCAGATGCCTGCCCGGGAAGCGGCCCTCAGGTTGCCTCTGCCACATCCCACCGGACAGCAATGAGGCAAATCCATGTGGAAATCATTAATCTGAGAGTGTTCTATAACACACTGACTTTGGATCGATTTTACAAGTAAGGCTAATGTTTAATCATGTATTGGTACATTGAGATCAGGACTCCAGTTTACTTGCAAGAAATGAGTATACCAAAAAACTTGGTTGGGGGCTTTCCTGGTGGCGCAGTGGTTGAGAGTCCGCCTGCTGATGCAGGGGACACGGGTTCGTGCCCTGGTCCGGGAACATCCCACATGCCGTGGAGCGGCTGGGCCCGTGAGCCATGGCCGCTGAGCCTGCGCGTCCGGAGCCTGTGCCCCGCAACAGGAGAGGCCACAACAGCGAGAGGCCCGTGTAACGCAAAAAAATAAAAACAAAACAAAAAAACAAAACAAAAAAACAAACTTGGTTAAGTTCATTTCGCTGAAACAGGTAAAGTTTAAACACCTTTTATTTCAAGAAATAGTGCTTCTAGACTTTCCTGAAGCCAGAATTGTTCTATAAAAGTATCACAGAATATTACACAAGATTAAAAAACACAGTATGCTTCCTAATAACTTGAAACCTTTTTACAAAGCACATCATTCATGACCATAAATATGTTTCATCTGTCATTCAGCCGGTGACACACACATCTGATAAAGAGCTAGTTAATTTTAACATATGTACAGAGTCTATGATAAAGACTTAAAGTTATCAAAAGATTCAACTATAACATATTAAATTTTCTTTAAAAGAGTTCACCTTAAACACGTAAAGGAAACATAATTTACCTATGCGCTTGAATCATCTAAAAATAAAACAAAAATTACTGTTAAGCTAAAAACAAAAACTTCTTGGGAAGTTGGCTAGGATACTGGTAACTTTCAATGAGGTAATAATCCTTTTGCTGGTATTTAAACATCTAATACATGACAAGAATATTTTCAAGAACACAGAATTTCAAAAGCAGTTTTGAATTATGCTTTCAAAAAATCAGAACCTAGTGAAGGCCTTAAAAATAATCACACAACACATACAGTGAATTTAAATTATGAAACATTCATGAGTTTGTTTTACTGAAAGAGTTCCTTATATAAATTCATAACTAGATATATTTTCTTAACACTTAAGCTTATTAGCCAAGTCAAGAAAACAAAACAAAGACGAAAAAAAAGTCTTCAGTCCTTTTATGCTGTTAAGAAAATAATAAAAATTTAGCAATTTTAAGCATATGATGAACACTTTGAGGCTAGGCACAGAGTAAGCAGGCAATCTTTGTTTTGTTTATTTATTTTTACTGCCAACATCCTTAGCCATGCCTTTCTGTTAATCAGTTTTAGCAAGTAGAGGTAAAACACATGCATTATTTTCTGGCAAAAGCGTATGTTGAACAATATGTGATCCATACTGTGTATCACCCTTGGGGGTCCATTTTCCTTTGTCACACTGAGAGCAAGCAGTGAGACTGACAAGTCTGGAAAAAAAATAAGACTAACCAAATAGACATGGCATTCCGATCTCAAAGTGCAAAATCACTGAGCTAAAAACGAGGGCCTTGAAAAATTCCAGTGGTTAAAAGTGAATCAAAACCACACTTCGCAGGCCGTGGAAAATGGATTGAGATTTCACCGATGATGTCAAGTTTCAGAAACTCAGAAAGGCACAATTCTAGCCATCTTGGTTGGATAACATTTATATACTCATGCCCCTACAGCTTTCAAAAGATAATACTGCTTTAGTACCCCCCAAACAAACAAACCCCCACAAATCCACCTGTCTTTCTACTCTGGACGAATAGCGACTTAGGACAGAGTCCCTGGGCGCGTACTGCTCGCATGCGCACTGACTTCCACTGCACGGGTGTACCCGGGGGAGGACCCGGGGGAGTTTGGAATGTCGGTTGTCATGATTGCCTTTATTAGTTTACTAAGAAAAAGTTAAAAAAAAATACTGTGTTTAGGGTAAGGTAACATGGCATCTAATCACAGGAGAGTGGAAAGGAGGCACCGCCTTCCGGGCTCTGTAAGTCCCGCCTCCTGTGACTTTTCTCCACCTGGTCTGATATCCTGTCTTGGCTGCAGGAGGAAATAGGCTGCTCCTATTGGTGGACGCTTTGATCCCGATGAATGGAGTCAACATCAGGATGCGTGGTAAGATGCAGCCGACCTTCAGAAGCATCTTCTCTTGGAGGACCATCCTGGGGAAGTCCCTTCTGGTGCCTGGGCCCGGGCTGCACCAGCTCCGTCGTTGGGCCGTCGCCGCTGAAATCAGTTTCAAGAAGATTGATCCCTTCATGCTCCAACCGCTTGTCAGTTTTATGATTTCTCCAGTGTTCAGAATTCAAACGATTAACTTCGGGCATGTCGTTATTCCGTTCAAGTTTACTCTCTGAGCTGAATGTTGGTCGGTTGGAATGCAGGGTGGGAAGGTCAGCCGGCAAGGTCAAAGGAGGTGCTTCCCCAACCCTACGCCTCGGGTCTTCATCTGACTCTGCTGGTGCCGAGAGCTCAGCAGACATAGCCAGGAACCCATCACTTTGAGCACTTTTAGTCTTATTTGCTTTAGTTTGCTCATGGTGACTGTTCAACAGTGCAAATACTCTATCTGCAGCCTTCAAGTAATTAGTCCAGTCAACCAGACTAAGTCTATAGTTTGGTCTGTCCTCGTAGATGCTTCCATTCACACTGTATAGATCCTCCAGGCCTTGCCAGTTGACCTCTGCAGTGAGACTGGGCTGACTAACCTTCCCATCCGTCCCATAACTGTCCTCTGTGAAAAGAGATGAAGGTGGATCCTTAGTGGAGAAAATATTTCCTACTTATTGGCTAAATAACTTACATTGTTTTTGCGGTTCAAGTCAATTTGAAATAAAACACTAAAAAGTATGTTTCCCTAGTAATTTGTTGTCAAGGAGGGGCCTAAGGTTACAAAAGTGACTGAATGATAATGAAATTTGGAAAGAAGATCGAATGAGTGAGAACTTCTATGACTAGGCTTGGTTGGTACTGGAAATACACTGGTATTACCGGTCAGGGGGCTTATGTTTTACTCCTGGCTCTACTCAAGTCTCCTGTGCAGTCAGGAAATCAAGTGAATGAGTCTCTCTGAGTCTTGGTCCCTCATCTGCCACATGTGGGAATAGTTGTGTGATAAAACCTTTACTACTTACAGGGCTGCTGGATGAACGATGAATTTCAAAGTAATTTAATGTAATAGGCAACGCTTAGTAAGATATCTTTATTTTATATTCCCTGACACTCAGGATAAAAACACATTTGAATGCAATTAAACTCTTCAAAGTAAATGGATCTATTTCTTTGATTGCTTTTTTGCCCTAAAAGTTCTATCCTTTAGATAAATCAATCATTGAGTCGTTTTTCACAGCATGCAAAGAATACACCAGCTTTCTCTCTCTCGGATTTTTCTACATCACTAAGATGACTATAGTTCTGCAGAAAACAACAGCTTTTCTCTAGGTGCGCCCAAGAATGCAATGAACTACCCACAAAGCAATACAGATTAGCAGGAAGAGAGAGTAAAACTATACAAAACCCACACCCTCAGTATAACCAGCAGATAGAGAATTCTAGAATCTTCAAATCACCTGTAAGTGAAAAAAAAAGTTAATACCAAATCCCAGTAGAGCTGTATGTCACGCTTTGGGCATCAGCCCTGGGAAGACTGTATACAAGAGAAAAGAAGAAAGAGAGAATGAAGTCAAAAATGGATTTGAAACCATTGCTGGAAAGCATGTCAACCTGAAGTATAAAACACTGTAGATTCTGGGTAAAGCGCGGTACCGACAATGAGAAGACCTAGAAGGGCACATGAATGGAGGTGGCAGTCTTGAAAGGCATCATTTCAGGGAGAAAAGGAGACAAAGGAAGAGAGAAACAGCCTTTGGAAACTGGCGATAAAGGAAAAAGGAAGCCAAAGGGGGGAAATTTCAGGTCCTGCAAGAAAAAGAGAGAAACAAAGAAATTCGACGACACACAACCTCTTACAATCCCATCCCCCAATAATAAGAAAATAAAAAAGTAAAAAGAAAGTATACTTGGTTACACAGAAAAAGATCTTCTTAAACCAGACATCTTGTAAATACTTGAAGTCCATGAAATTAACAGAAGCAGTCTAAATATAAACAATATTATTATAAGAGAAAATAGAAAATAAGAATAAAAAGTCTACCATCTTATGAAAATGCCCCTGCCAAAATAAACCGTAAAGTGAAGACAACCACAACGTAACACTGCTAAGTAAATTGAATCTTCTCAATCAAGCATCCAAGGATGTAAAAGTCACCTTAAGTCAGAAATTAAAGTAGGAACCAAGGATCATATATTCAGTCAAGCTCTCCTTCAAGTATCAAGGCTACAGAAAAACAGATTCAAACATGTAAGGGTGCAGAGAATACTGCACACATCAGCTCATCTTGAGCAGTCTCCTAGAGGATGAATTTCATTCAACCAAGAAATCACTGGGGAAACTTCAGCAAAAGGACTGATGCTGAGCATTTAACACATTTATCAGATCCAGGAGTAAACCAAAGTTAATGAGGTAGAGAACAGAAAAAAATGACATATCTAATTAATAAATCAAGATCCTGCTTCTTTAAAAAAAAAAAAGGATCAAAACAGATAGTCATTAGCTTACCTAATTAAGAAAAAGGGGAGAAATTTCAAATATACAAAATAGAAAGTGACAAGGGAGAAATAATCATTGAAATATACAAAATTTACAACACAAGCAACTATGTTGCAGACATTAAAGTGAACAGATTGGAAAACCTAGATGAAACACATAATTGTCTAGGAAAATACATTTTATTGAAATTGACCCAATAGAGATAGAAAGCTTACAGAGAACAATTTCCAAAGAAGGAAAAGAAAGGTTTATAACCTTTATATAAGTTTATAAGAACTACTATAGGAAATTTCTATCAGTCTTGTAAGAATTACACTACAAAAAAGCACCAGGTCTCTATGATTTCACAGGAGAATTTTACTAAACCTTCAAGGAAAAGAGAATCTCAATGCACTACAATCTGTTCCAGAGCATAGAAGATCGAAGAACACTTTCAAACTTTTTAACGAAGCAAGTATAACATTGTTAGCTGTGGTAGGCAGAATAGTGGACTCACCCCCCAAAGATGTCCACATTCCTAATCCCTGGAAACTGGGTATGTTGCCTTACATGGCAAAATGGACTTTGCAGATGCGAATTAAGTTATGGATCTTGAGATTGGGGGGGGGGGTTATCCTGGAGCAGCCAGGTGGGGCTGTTGTAATCCCAAAGGTCCTTTTTAGAAAAATGGGAGGCAGGAGAGTCAGAGAAAATGTGACCTCGGAAGCAAAGGGGTGTGTATGTTGGCGGGGGTGGGGTAGATGTAGGTATTGAGATTTGAAGATGCTACATTTTCAGCTTTGAAGATGGAGGAAAGGGCCATGAACAAGGAATGCAGGCATCTTCTAGAAGCTGGAAAAAGCAAGGAAATGGATTCTTCCCTAGAGCCCCCAGAAGGAACGTAGACCAGCTGATACCTTGATTTTAGCCCAGTAAAACCCATTTCAGACTTCTGACTTCTAGAAAAGTCAGAGAATAAATCTGTGTTGCTTTAAGGCACTGGGGTAATTAGTTATAAGAGTAATAGGAAACCAGTAGAATACCTAAAAAGAGAATGCTAGCGTAAACAGAAAGACAATTTCAGACTGAAATCATTTATTAATATGATGCAAAAATCCTAAATATTAGTGAAGAGAATTCAATATTATATTAAGAAAATAACACATGATGACCTACTGCAATTTATTCCAGAAATGGAAAGTTGGTTCATTCTTAGCAAGTCTGTTAATACAATGTACCATATTAGTAGATCTAAAGAGAAAAATGATCTGCATATCTCCATAGACGCTGAAAAGGCTTTTGACAAATTCAACACTCATTATTGATAAAAACACTAAAAAAAGAATTGATGGCTATTTCCCTAACATAATAAAAATGTAAATATCTTAGTCCTAAACACGCTTCTCACTTCATGGGAAAATCCTGAAAGTCTTTTCGTTAAGAACAGGGACAAGGTCACATTGTACTGAAAGCATTAGTTTATCCAATTAGATAAATCAATCAGAGACACACAAGTGGGAAAAGAAGCAAAGCTATCTCTACTTGCAAACGTATGGTAGTGTATCTGGAAAATCCAAGAAAATCCATGACAAAGTTAACTCAAAAAAAAAAAAAATTAAAAGGTAGCAGGATATAAAGTTAATATACAGAAACCAACAGCCCTCATATACACAAACAATAATCAAGTAAAGGTTTTAATGATGGAGGAAAACCCTATTTACAATAGTAACAAAGAAGATAAAGTACTTATAAATAAACTTAATAAGAATGTGCAAAACCTTTAAGAAAATACTTTTAAAAGCTCCTGAAAGACCCATAAGTATACTTAGCCAGATGGAAAGATGTCCTTTGCTCTTGGATAGAAGACTCAGCATCATAAAGATATAAATTCTTCCCAACAGCTAATACTTTATAATAACTATAAATGGAGTATAACCCTTAAAAATTGTGAATCACTATAATGTATGCCTGTAACTTACATAAAATTGTATATCAACTATATTTCAATAAAAAATAAAGAATTCTTCCTGATAATTCTTTCAGAAGTCAGACAGAAAAATGGTCGAAGACATAACCAGATAATACACAAAATATGTAAAATGTCCTTTGAACTTTCAAAAATATGTGCAACTCTGCTCATAATAAGAGCAAAAATACAAATTAAAACCATACTGACATACCCTTTCTTTCTTATTTGATTGGAAAAAAATGAAAAAGCCTGACAGCTGTCAAAAGCAAACACTGTCATACATTGATGATGGGAATGTAACCCTTATGGAAGAGAATCTGGCAATATTTAATACATCCACATATGCATTTACCTGTTGATACAGTAATCCCACCAATTCATGACTAGGAATTTACTCTGAAGATACTCTCAACAGCATGAAATTACACTTGCACAAGGCCCTTCATTGCAGTACTATTTGTAATTGTAAAATATGAAAATAACTGAATAATACATAAAAGAGCAGTTGAATAAATTATGCTTTTTGCAGTTTTGACTTTGGAGCTAGGTGAAGGCATTACATACTAAAAACCAAAATCAAATGAATAATGATGAAGATAAAAAGAACCTAAAATGGAATACAAACAAATAAACAAACCTTACTTTATGTCAAATAAATAACATAACCACAATAAAAGAGGGTGGGGCACAGAACAAGCCCAGATAACTTTGAACATAGCACTGTTTTTTGTTAATCGAAAGAGAAACATTTGAAAAATACACTGAACTCCAGACAGCACGTGCAGTAGTGTGATTTAGCAATTCTGAAATTGCTCTCTGTGTACCGCAGCATTTAACAAATGACTTAATCCACGGGGGATAATGGAAACTGGATTTCAGTGTCTACCTGTCCCTCCGCGGCACACTTCTTTTCAGGGTGTAAACTGCACAGCAGCACCCAGGGCTCCTGGTCCTGACCCACACCTTTAATAGCCCTGACACAGGTCCCCTCTTCGTCTTAGGAAGCCGACCTCACCTCCAGCCCCTTGAACTCCAAACCCTGGCTTTGACCCATCTCTTGGTCTAGTTCCTTAAACAGAGAAGTCCAACAGTGCTAGCAAGGCAGCTTGAAAAGCAAACGGAGCCCTGAGATGTGACTGAGAGAAGAGACCCAGGGGCAGCTTCCTTAGGACAACACAGAGCAGGGCAGTGAAGGCTGTGTTTTTCCTTTCTGATCTCAAGAGGTTTGGGTGGTTCAGAAAATGCATTCGTGTGCTGAACTCTGGGCTGCCAATGAGTGATGATGGAGATGAATATCTTTTTGTGTTTCTTATAAAATACAGTAGCATTCTTTTATCACTCATTACCCCCTTTCACATACCGCTTTCTTCATGTGAATGTTTTGTGCCGCCATATTATACCTGACTAATAATACCCATCATCATTGGGGCTTGCTATAAGTTAGGCTCTGTTCTCAGCTTCTGACTAGTGAGGCTGGGATTTGAACCCAAGGCAGGGCAGCTTCAGTGTCTGTGCTCTAACCACAGTACTGTGCAGCCTCTAACACACAGCTATGCCACACGTTACTGTCTACAAGGAACGCATGGTGGCCACAGGGGCAAATGAGTCAAAACAAGCAAAAGCGGTTCCTTAAAAACTAAAGGACCCAGTGATCCCATTCCTGGGCATATATTTGGAGAAAACTCTAATTGGAAAAAATACATGCACGCCCATGTTCATAGCAACACTATTTACAATAGCCAAGACATGGAAGCAACCTAAGTGTCCATCGACAGAGGAATGGATAAAGAAGGTGTGGTACATATATACAATGGAATATTACTCAGCCACAAAAAAGAATGAAATAATGCCATTTGCAGCAACATGGATGGACCTAGAGATTATCATGCTAAGTGAAGTAAGTCAGATAGAGAAAGTCAAATACCATATCACTTATATGTGAAATCTAAAAATGATACAAATGAACTTATTTACAAAATAGGAACAGACTCACAGACATAGAAAACAAATGTATGGTTACCAAACGGGAAAGACGGAGGGGAGGGATAAATTAGGAGTATGGAATTAACAGAAACACACTACTATATATAAAATAGATAATCAACAGGGCCTACTGTGTAGCACAGGGGACTCTACTTAATACTCTGTAATAACCTATATGGGAAAAGAATCTGAAAAAGAATATATGTATGTGTACAAACATGCATAAAACTGAAATACTTTGCTGTACACCAGAAACTAACACAGCATTGTAAACCGACTACACTTCAATCAAAAGAAAAAGTCGACTTTACATTTGGAAAAAACAAACAAGCAAAAGCAATGTGGACAGAAGCATGGTCGCTGAGGGTGGGCACGACGTGGCCTGCTGGCCTGCAGGGCGTGGGACAAAAGGGGCAGGAAGCAGCCATGCCAGCCTTAGGTTGCCAAGAAGTGACCGTGACCGCCAGCAGCTCATCAAAGGGCAGCGGCATCTGCTTTCACAGGCAATGGGAAAAATAAATGCCCCATCAACCTGTGGATCTGATTCTATTTTGCAACACAGAACTTATTACTTTCAACTCAAGGCAGCAATTATTTCCTGAGTAGAATGGGGGCCACTTTCCTGAGCTGTGTCCCTACTCTGAGCTTGTCCTAACCGGGAAAATGACCAGTGGGAATAAGCAAAGTGTTTTAGCTGCCCTGCCTCATGGACCTCCCATGCTAAAAAAAAAAAAAAGGAAATTGAACAGGGAACAGACTGGCTTTTAAAAGATCCTCTAAATAAGCCTAAGGATTAATTTTCGAAAATTCACAAAACTGAAGGCAGTTTACAAACTCTTCTGTAGTCAGAGTCTCGTACAAAGTACATTTTCTAAAATATTCTTGAATTTTCAAATTCCAAATTCTTCAGGTGTGATTGTTCTCATTTTGCTCAAAGGCTTTTGTAATCAAATTGCATGATTCAAAATGCATTTTAATTAGTTTTCTAAAATAAATAAATAAATAAAAATCTTAAAGAATCGAAGCTTCCAAAAACCCATTAGCGGTGCCGTCACTGGAGGGCTGTGGGCTGGTAAACTGGGACGGCAGTTTTTTCGGCCTTTCCACATCTGTTGCCTTTCAATCCAACAGGATGCAGTGGACAGGGGAGGCCACATCAAGCACTGCCTTTGGGTGTCCAGTGACAGCCCAGGTCTGACAGGTCGATGCCCTCCTGTTTCATCATTTCCTGTCTACGATGTGGATAGCAGCTGAAAGGTAGTTTGCCTCATGGATTATGAAATGGTGGAGTCTGAAAACGCCAGTCATTCTGAGTTAAAAAGGATCCTTAGATTTGTCCATTGGTAAGGAATTTAGAAGAAAAAAATAAACAAAACAGGTAACACGAGGTTACCCTGCACACACACTTTCACTCGCCACATTACCAGGGAAGGGACGCCATGCCCTCAACAACTAAAGCTATCAAGGGTTTGCCCAAACGACCCCAGAAATGATGGATTTGGCCTCGTTTAGTGATGGTGGTGACAGGGATCAGGGTAGGGGGAGTCCCAGATCCTGCTCTTTACTCATGACTGGAGTGCAGTTAGCCATTCTTCATCTCAAAGCTGTCCAAGGATGGCTTGGTGAAGAACTCCCTTCCTCAGCTCTGACCAGACCTGTGTCTTAAATAACCTGTTAGTACCCTTTTACCTCTGTCATGACAGAAATAAAAGTGGGCCAGACGGAAAATCCCGCAGCTGTAGAAATGAGTGCATCATAAAATAACTGTTAAGTCAGTATCTAGTGTGAGGTCCACTTAAAATGCCCCACTTCAGAAATGTCTTAACGGGATCCCCGGGAAGCAGGAAGATCAGTCCTGGTGTGTGAGATGTTACCTCGTCAGCCCACAGCCTGGGGGAGACCCGCGTAAGAGGGGGCTGTCCTGCTCTGTCTTACGTGTGCTGGTGCGGGGTACGCAGGGTGGGTGCGGAGGCAGAGTGAGGAAAGAAGAAAGACAAGAGGGGAGAGAAAAAGAAGAGACAGAGAGGCCGTTATCAAGGATCCTCAAAAGTCCAGCTTTCTCTGTCTTGTCTGTTTGCTTACACCTTCCCCGCCATCATTCAGCTTCTCATGGGACCAATGAACTGCCCTCTGAAAGGAGGAACCTGAGACCACAGCTCAGGAGGCTGGAGGAGGGGCACGGAGGCCACCAGGGTGCCCCGGACAGGCGATAGTATTCTATTTCTTTGAGACGGTATCAAGATGGGTGACACCAGTGAGGTCCATGTTCCTTTGATGAAAGCGTTTCTCCCAAGAGGATTCGTGAGCTAAGGCAGTGACACATCCGTGCCCCAGTTTCCCCTTAGTAAGGTGGTAAGGACAGACCCCTCCTGCCCCACACGGCATGTTTCTGACAGACCTGCTTGAAGTCTAAGCTTGGAGTATAAGTTTCTGTGCAAGGGCTGACACGGCCACCAGGCGTTCTGGGTCCCCCTCCCCGACCCCGGGGCACAGGGGGGTAAGCGTGATGGATGGGGGGCTGGAGGAGATAAGAGGGCTTGGCTGAGGGCCGTTCATCAAGCTTTCATGTGTCAGGCACTATTGTCTCCAGGCTGTGCTGAGGCCTTTCTGCGAGACTTGATTCCAGATACCCTGACCCCCGACTCCCACGCTTCCCATTCACTCACCACCACCTGGCAAAGCTTCTGAGCCCCATCACCGCTGCTTTCACCACCAAAGTTGATTAAGGACTGTGAACAAGGAAACGCCTTCTCTTTGCTCCAACTTCGGCTCTAGCGTGCTCTTAAAATTCCCGTGACTCCTTTTGTGATTTTGACTTAATAGTTCATAAAATCTCTACCTCATTTCTGTGAAGCCTCTCCACCAAATCAACGTGTAAGCACCACCAGGAAAATAATTCTCCCCTTGTCCCCAGGGCTCCCGAAGGTCATTCTGTTTTCTTCCTCTTCACATCATTCCGTGCTTAAAAGCACCATCCAACAAGCAATCAAGCACGGGACTGAGTGAATGCTCTGAGAGACATCTTGTCGTGACAATGAGTTGATTTAAAGGCAAAATGACAGATCTGTCCCCAGTGACGCAAGACGGTGGAGAAAGCTGTTAGAACATGCATGCACCCCAAGCTACGCTCTGTGCGACAAGGTGAGACACAGAAATGAGTTAAAATGGGTGAATCATGCAATGACTGGGAAAGAAGCTGCCGGGGAGAATAAAAAAGTGTGAATACCTGTGCAGGTCATAGCTTCCTCCATCTTTATTTCCTGATATAGGAAAATATAAGAGTAATGTATGTTAGCTTTACAACTCATAAAACCACCCACTATGTCATGTTCCATGCACAACATCTAAACCCTAGAAAGAAATATATCGTGTGAAATACAGACAGTGCCGGAGTCCAACAGAGCTTTTCTATTAGACAGGTTCAAAATGAGGATGGAAAGCTATAAATAAAAAGGTTTAAGATAAAACGTATCAGACTTCACATGAAAAATGGGTGAGGGTGAGATAGGAAAGCCCATTTCAAAGTGATAAGACGGTACTTCCTGTCTCAGGAATAGTTAACTTTTGGTTATTTTAGACAAAACACTTGGAAAAAAGGGCCAATAATCATCTCCCTCAGGAAGCGTCTAGAAGGTGGACAGGACTACTTGAAGCGTAACGGTGACAAGGGGTCTGGCTGGCGTGTCGTTCACCACTTAGAGACTCTATCAGGTTTCACTAAGTGGAGCTGCTATGTCATCACCAGTAGGAGTGCTATGTTCTTCAGGGGAGAAATATCTGGGTGTAATATTTCTAGTGCCTCTGATACTTGTTTCAATTTCCAGGCCTTAGGGGGCTTTTGGGGGGGTAAAATTTGAGGAAAAGGTCAACAGATAAGCAGGATATCTGAAAAGATTTAAGCTGAGTGGAGTCAGTGACCAAAAGACCTGGCTGGACTCTTCTGGCTGGCAATGAATTCCAATAAGGTTTTAACTGAGGGGTGGTGACTGACAGCTGTGATGGAACCGCCCACATGATTTAGAATTTCCTCTGGGATTTGCAGCCTGAATGCCGTGAGGACCCTATAATGGTGGAAATGACAGGTGACGATGCTGATCATTTCAGTATGCGCCACTGCCCCCCCGAGTCCCCCATCAAGGCTCATGGCCTGGGGAGCTGCTTACTTTTATTGCTGGCTCTGCAGGGGACCCACAGAGACACAGGGCCTTAAGGGCACTGAGAAAACTCAGCTGCCCAACAGAGGGTTTTTGCAAATTGCTCCCCACTGCCTTTGGGTCTAGCTCTTCACCCTTTTGGGGTTGGCATGCTGTGCCCTTGGCCAGCCTCAGCTCTTTCTCCTTCCTCCTATGGACAGCTGACATTTACATTTCCACAGGAATTATGAGAAAATAAGTATTCTCATTAACCAGTAAAGAGCTGGGATAGATACTGAAAAGAACTGCATCTCCATGAGCCAAAGGAGAAATGAGTTTAACATTGCAGACCAGGGAGGGAACATCTGGCTGATTCCATACAGGCCCTCTTATACTTTCAGATCTCAAGACAACGTTGTGCTCAAACATCTCTAGTTTCAGATGGGAAATACTTGCAGAAGAAATCTAATTCAATGTGTCGTGGGCAGGGATCCAACTGGGGGAGTTCCAAACTCTGAGAAGCAGAAATAGGGCATTGTGTGTTTCCATCCCAATTCTCTTAAAAACAAATAGGATATCCTGGTTGACCTAGAGTATATCTTATGAATGTTGACATCCATAACAAATAAACCCCCAATGCTTTCATCCCCTTTTCCAGTGGATGCTTCCATCAGGAATTGAGGTTTACTAAGAGGATGGATCTTTGGGAGAGATGGAATGAAACGCTCCCCAAATCTTCGGGGGTATTAAATTTTTCATTAGTGCACCCAGAGCTAAATTAGAGAACAAAATATGTTCGGAATTGCCTGGCAAGTTTCCCCTGTAAGGATCCCAAACTAGACATTTCTATGTCTTCTATCCCCAACTATATGTTTCAAAGGCAGAAAACTTGACAACAGAAAGAATTTTCCAGGTACTATGGGACAAAAAAAATTTTTTTTCCTTACCAACTTCTAGGCCCTTAGGTCTTGGGTTGCACTGCTTATACCCTTGACAGCTCCTGAGTTCCATCAGCTGCATGTGTAGCTGATTCAAAACGCCCCGTTCTACTGTGTGCACGGTATTTGTGAGCTGCGGATGAAGCGGCCAGGACAGTATCTTTAAGCTCACGTTCTGCTTATTCCATTTTCAATAAGCTTCATAAAATGAAAACATATTGACTTACCTGATAAGGATCAGTATTCATATCAAAATACTCCAAAAAGCCAGTGGCGAACTCACAGAAAAGAAAATTATGCGTGTCATTAACTGTCCGCAAACACCAGTAGGTGTTATTGTTAGAACTCGTGCAAGCACAGAAAGAGCCCACTGTCGGTAAGAAAGAAAAACAAAACGAAAAGAATGAGAAAACCCAGGAGCCCAGCCATTCCAGCGTTCCCTTATCTTTACATTTCGAAGTTCACATTTTCTTTCTTGCAAATACTGTGTGTGTAGACGTTAAAAACAACTACATTTCTCCCCCTCTGTACAAATTTGCTGCGAGATTAGGTGAAGATGCAAAACAACAATGGCAACCTAGGAGGGTGATTATAGGCTGAAGGCCAAGGTGAAGTTTCAGGCTCTTTCGTTTGCTGTCCCCTTAGTTCTGTGGGGCACTGTCTCCAAAACAGGGTGACTGAGTGGAGAACAGGAAGGAAAGTATCGGAACTCCCATTTATGGTTGTTTTAATTTTTTTTAAAAAGGGAAAAAATGGTTCCTTAATAAAAAGATGGACCCAGTGCCTTAGCTTGCTCTGAATGTCAGATGGTCGCGTGTCACAAATGGTGCCTGGAAAGAGAGGGGATTCTGCGGTGTGGATGGGTTTGGAGGAGGCTTGAGCGCAGCTCAGTGGATTTAAGGATGTCAAAATTTGTGATCGTACAGACTCTCTACAACACTTGAACATGAGATGGACTGTTACCATGAACATCTTTTGTACCACACAGAGGTCCACTGGTTGACTTGTAGAAAGTACGGGGAAGAGAGGTCCAATTAAAGATTTCTGCTACTCCCTCTGCCTGGGGTGCTGCACCCCCAATCCCTGTTCACATGATTCCTTCTCTCCACGCCTTAGGTTTCAGCTTCAATTTCACCTCTTCAGAAAGGCCCTTTATCCCTACCCTCTCTAAAAGGGACCCTTTTAAAAACTTTGATCACTGTTTCCTTCACAGCATTATTACAACTTGTAATTATTTTATTGATTTCATTTACTTTCTTTCTTTACCCGCTTTTGGAATATAAGTGTCTTGAGGGCAGAGAAGGAGGTATGTCTCACTCATCGTGTGTCTCCCGTGCTCGGCCCAGAGCCTGATGGAGAACAGATCCCCAGCAAGCTCTGTGACCCTCAGATCCCCACATTCAAAGTTAAAGCTAAGCCTTTAAGAGTTCACTCAAGCCTCGAGTATGTAAACATTATGTAAACATAAATGCAAACATAGACCCTGAAATCAGGATGCACCAAAACAGAAAGATAAACAAAAATGATCACAAATAGGCCCTAGGTCTCCCCAAGGATGGTCTCTGGTTTCCCGGGAGTCTCCAAACCCCAGTTTGAGAACCATTGACCTGGACTTCAAGTGCAAGTCTCCATGCACTTGAAATAAGGCAGAAATGAAATATATTTGGGACAAAATTGTTCATCCGTTTATTTAGTTACTTGGTGACAAAGCAGTCTTGCTGGGCCGGAAGCCTGTCGGGGGCTGGGTACTCTGTGAAGTGTCGTCAGGAGAAAAACCCACGGAGAGCTGGGCATTTTCAAACAAAACGTCAAAATAAAAATTTCTAAAGAGAAACGTAACTTTGGGCAAAACGATTCGAGTTGTCAGTGTAGACAATGATATGATGCTTTAATCTAGAATCTTTCTAGCTTCCTGGTTTCAAGCTGCTGAATTCCTAGTCTAAGTAACTGTGCACGAGCTGCTGGCTGTCGGGACGGTGGCAGGAAGTGGCAGTTAGACGGGGCAACTCACGGTTCCAGAACGGCGCCGTCTGCCAGTGGTTGTTGTCATGCGTGAAGCAGGTGAGGCCAGGAAGGCTGCACTCCTCACCCTTCCGCTGCCGTTTCTTCTCCTTCCTCACTTTCTTCCTCCTGCGGTTCTCCTTGAAAAGCTGCAGTTTGCTGTCTACTTCTTGAGCGGCTTCTCTATTCCAATATAAGGGACTTTTTAATGATCAGAAAGCACTTTCTCAAGTAAAACTAGGACTGTTGCTATGAATCGCACACACATATTTAGGCACAAGATAGTAGACACACAATAATAGATGGCCTTACTTTTTCAGAGGGCCTCGAAACACAAAATATAAGCAGCAATATTGAAGACAAACTCATGAAGCGACAATGCTCTTAGAATTTTACTGAATCTTAACAGGATTGACATTTTCTTCCTATTGACATGCAAACATTGATGGAAATAAATGTCAATGTGAATCAGCAGATCCTGTTGGCCATGCCCTTTGGGCAAGTGGCTTAACTTCTGGTGGCCTGGTATCTATCAGCCATGAAGTCAATGATTGGTCGGATTAGATGACTTGAATTAAGTTTCTAAAATTCTCTGGACAAATCCTACAAAATAGGCTTGGAAAGAATTAAAAAATTTTTTTTTTATTATCTTGATCCATGAAGGGCTCAAATTTTGCTGAGGCTCAAATATTAAATTCCCTTTACACGCACACTTTACGATTATTTTAAAAAGATGTCTTTTTCTTCCAACTTACAGAATTCAACACAGTTGCATGCTGCTCTGCAGAACACACGGACCTAATTCAGCGAGTCCACATCTCCTAATCACTGTCCACAGAAAGCAGTGCATGGAGTACAATCTAGATACCAGCCAATACACCAGCAGAGAGCACACACGCAATTAGAGCAGAACTTCAAATGATGCCCCCTCCTGGGATTCCAAAAATATCGATTGCCACGGTCCCTTGGCAAGACGTGAGCTTGTTTTCAACTTCTTGAGCTAATGCCCTCCCAGTTGCATCTACTTTTCTTAAGCAGCACCAGTTGGAACACAGGAGTCCCAGCAGCCTTTCAGGAAGGCCCCGCAAAACGTCCTTCACTCCCAGCAAATGTGGCAAAAACAGTTACTTACTTGAATGGGTGAAGGTGGCTCTTTAATTTCTCTTGCTTTTTCACACCTTTCTCTTTGTTGTAATAGCTGCAGGCAAGAAGGTTGAAAAGTGAGTCTTCATAATCGTGCATTTGATCAAACAGTTGATTTATAAAATGGAAGCAAAATACAAGGTAGGCAGTTATTTTGTTGTATGTAACCATCTTAAGTTAATGGGACTTTTTTTTTTAAGCTTCTGCTTAGGTTTATGACGTGTTTAATTGGACATAAGTGGTTTAGATCATTACAATATATGATATCAATTTATTAAGCTTTCTATTGGTAAAAGAGAGAAACAGGCCTACTGCGCATCACTGCAGCTTGTGTGAAAGTGATGGACACACACACACCTCTGTTTATTGCAGCCACATTCCTCAGGTTTCCTTCTCTTTAGATGTCCTCTCACCTCTCTTAAATTCTTAATTTTATCTTGCAAAGCCTCAATCTGGAAAACACGCATGTCAACAGCGGTATTTTAAGATCAAGATTTTCTATACAAAGCATCTTTCTTTCCACCCTATTTTCCATGTTTACAGCTACACAATTACAGCTCCTCCTCTGAGGTGATAATTAATTTGGAAACAAGCTGGGCATAGAATATGTCTACCTCTATATTCCAACCGATGTGTTATAATAAACATTAACAGCTGGCTCTTTTATAATTGAATCATTTTGCTCACAGAGATTTCAAGAGGTCATGCTTTTTTCACCTTCCGTTTTGTTTTCAGTCAGGAATATCACTGGAGCAGCAGAAGCAGCTTGTTTTTCTATTCTTCACATAATTATAAAAAAGATGAGTGCACACAGCAGGGCTGGCAAGTGGAGTGTGCTTTTGGAATATAACTTCCAATTACATGGCCATGGCTCACCTCTTTATCAATGTATGCCTTGTGGTCCTTCCAGGCTCTGGCTGATTGATAAAGTTCTCTCTCACAATGAATTGTATCATTTGGAAGAATGAAGCATCTGCAAAAACCAAGCAAACAACATTAGAAACAGGTTTCTATTCTAATATTAAAAAGCATTAAAAATAGCCAAGGGAACTTCATTATCCTCTATATCAGAGGTCCCCAACCCCCAGGCCATGGACCAGTAGTGGTCCGCGGCCTGTTAGGATCTGGGTGGCACAGCAGGAGGTGCACGGCGGGCAAGCGAGTGAAGCTTCATCTGCCTCTCCCCATCTCTTCCCATCGCTCGCAATACCGCCTAGACCATCCCCTGCTCCCTCCCCGCCCATGTAGAAAAATTGTCTTCCATGAAACCGGTTCCTGGTGCCAAAAAGGTTGGGGACCGCTGCTCTAACTGCTTAATTTGGATGCAAGCAGTTACCTGGAGCTGAGCTACAGACAAGGATAAGTGGGAATGTTTCCTGGCTACTGGTGAGGACAGAGGATGGTATCAGAGAGACGTCATCACAAAGATCAAGGCAACATTCAATATTCACGCCCCCATGAACAAATATCACCCCCCCCCAAAACTCCATTTTTGAAAGCCCCACCAAATACTGTAGGAAAAAAAATGTTCTCACAGTTGTAATGGAAACGGTTGATGTGAAGAAATAAAGAGATAGAAGGTGGTTATTCATCCCACTCATTTTGCTACAGAGAGCCTGCCTGAGGTGTCCCATTAAGTTTGAAGCAAATAAGCAGCCCCAGGGATGGACAGCAGGTGGGATGGGGGAGCAAATCAACACTGAGTGAGAACCAAACCTGGGTCTCAATCTTTTAGCATCTGGAACCATAACCACTGTGGGCACCAGGAGACCCGTCCCAGAGATAAAGATGCCGGCAGGGCTCACGGCACCCCACCTCCCTAAAGTGATGAAATGAAAGAGAAAACAAAGATCTTGCTAATAAATTCAGAAAGAAAAGATTTCTCTATCAAGAGAGCACACAGATTTTGGAAGGAACTGAAGGACCAGGGTAGTCGGTTAAAGCCGACTCCCTCCCCATCTCTGTGACTCTCTGGGATCTGGAGAGGTCAGGTGTTTCTGCATCTCATACCCATCCTCAACCCACGCCATCTTTCTGGAAGCTTCTCCGGGACCCAGAGTCCTCCCTTGGGCTGTGTTTCATTTCTGAGAGCCTAACACTGTAACTGCTCTGAGTCGCAGTGCCCACGCAGCACCGAGAGCCTTTCCAGCCCCGGTAATGTTTTCCATGTGTTTTCTAGACTCCACAAAGGTAACTGCTTCAGGGCAGAACTCCACTCCTGCTGAGTCAAGATGTGACAGCATCACTCTGGCTAAATGCCCAGCTGATCAGCCTTCGTGCGAAACTGACCCAAAGCAAACGTCCAAATCTATGACTGTTTGGACTCCTTGTTGCTCCCCCAGGTATGTATCACATCGGCCAGCTCTAGGAACACCGTACTGCTGAGTGATATCGCTTTTTGTAAAGGGGCAAAATCCTATGATATGGAGGGATGACTTTGAACTCAATCCCCGTGAACACAAAGCCTTCCTACTTGTGCGTCACTCGGACAGTGGCAGGCAGGCCCACGGCATTTCCGCTGTCGGCCAGCATCGCGTCCCCATCACCGCCGCCGGTGGCCTGGCGGCCTCTGGGCCCTTGGCGACCTTCATCGTGACGCTTGGCAATGTTTCGTGGTCGCAGGACTTGCAGTTCTTCTTCCAGGTTTATGTCATATATTTCGCCTTCAAATTCGACTGACAAGGAGCGTGTCTGCCGGGTATGGACAAATCTGGGCTTGTACTCTGGAAATAAGGGAAGACAGGTTAACACGGATGGCCAGGTGTGGTTTAGGAGGGAAGAAAATGATCGCCAGGCTTGGTGAGCATTTTGGGAAGGGGTAAGCAGCACACAGTGCACTGCTGAGGGCCACATCATGGTGCAGTGGCCGGCCCATGGGAATTCGCACTGGGAGAGGCAGGCTATGGTCCTGGCTTTGCAAGTGCAGAGCAGTGTGCTGGATGGTGTGTTTCTCTGGGTCTCAGGCCTTTCATCCCTCAAGTGAGGAGGTAGGTCTAGGTGATCTCTAAGACCCTTTCCCCTTAGAGCAGGCTGTGAACATCAAGTTTTCAAAGTGAACTACAAGGCAGTTTGGATAAAGCTATTAGTAATAGTAATGACTATAATTAGCTTTTAATAATAAAACTATTAATAATAGTAATGACTGTAATGAGCTTTTGCTATGTATTATTCCCGTCTTCCTTATCTCTAATGCACAATCATGAAAGACAGGAATTATGACAATAAATCCTCACGTTAAAAAATCTATCAGATTGTCAAAACAGGCTCATGAATTTGTTATCACTTTTATATTATGATGAGAAAACTGAAGCTTTGAATGTTACATACCTTTGCCAGGTGACGCAGCCAGTAGTTGTGGGATCTCAGACTACAACCTATCAGATTCTAAAGATTACAGTCTTCCCACGACACTGGGCTGCTTTCTCAAAAAGGTGAATGCTCCAGACACCTTCTATTTGCACAAATAATAGAAAATTGCTCTAAGAAAAATTAAATTTTGCAAATGCTTTCATCAGTCAGCTGACTAAATGCCTGGCAGATGGACAGTAACGCCCGGGGGAGATGAGTGTGTTTTCTGGTCACCAGAGACCACTGTCAAGGCTCATTGTGGGCTAGATAAGAGCTTTAACATGCACACACTGCTCCCCGCTGATCAGATGCACTCAGGCTCTGTGGGGGGGCCGGGGGGGGCACTCAGTGGCCTTATGTGTCCAGCCCGCTGCTCAAGTAGGAAGAAAGGGAGCACATTGGCTGTGAGATCAGAATCATTTCGTTCTCTGCAGGATGCAGCTCTCAGAGGAAACACCCCTGTGCATTGGATCACTGAGAGTGCTCACGAATTCCATCATTATGCAAAAGAAGAGCGTTCACTCCCATTCTCGAGTACACAATACTCCACGTGGCTTGAAAAAGTGGCCCCAGGCTTCTTGAGCTTGTGCTCCACATGGAAAAATCAGTGTGTTTTATGGTCAGTGCCTGGGGAGCGACAACTGAACTTCTTGAGAGAAAAGAGGCTTCCCCCACCTCCAAGCTGGACACTGGAGATGGCTTCTGTTAAGGGAGAGGGTCAGGGGTCCTGTCCCTTGCCGTTTTCCCATTTGAAATCTTTGTGTGAATTATTAAACCTGGCATTTTCTCTCAGGAGGAAAATCTCCAAAGTCAATGATTTTCAGCCTCTGGGGTTACTGACTCCTTTAATATTTTGTTGAAAGTTACGGACATCCAGAAACATGTGCATATACACACATAGAATATACTTAAAATTTTGGATAAAATGCTAGAGGCTCATGATCCTATAAAGTTCATCTGTGAAGGCCAGGATAAAAAAGCCTGTTCTAAGAGCTTCCATTGCAGTCTAGTGAATGATTTGATTCCCTGGTTTTGGGCATAGAATTTAATTTAATGTATCCTGCTTTCCAAAACCAGTTCAGAAAGGCGTTATCATAGAAATAAGTCACTTTTCACATTGAGCCACTAGATGGCACTAGACTCTCACTCTTTTATGGAAGGTGCCGCTTCATAGGAATCTGATAGCTGCCTGAGAAGAGTTTTTACGAAGATGCTAGGCACTGCTTCTCATGCTGAATTCGGCTAGTTTGACCCTGCCAGTCAATAAGAGGAATTAGAAACATATATCATCCTAAAACAGATATGCCGTTTAAAAAAGCATTTATGCTTCTCCTATTAGTTAAATGCACAAGCACTGAAACCTCGGATTTTTCTTTTCTTTCTTTTTTAAGTGTGCATATGTTTTCTGTCTGCTGCTTTTACTGAATATATTTTCACCCTAAGCTTAATATTCACAAAGCAAAATTTCAAATGACCTCGGCTTTCATATTGTAAACAGAACTATTATTTGCTTTTAGCCCCAAACCTGTGCATTGATAATATGTAACATGTAGATGGATCAAGACGTTTTTGTCTCCCTAACATCCATTCCCAAAGGCCTTGGGCTGCCACTGAGAGGGTCACGGCGAATGGCTTACTCGGGGTCCCCTGGTTCCTTAGGTACTGCCTCTGACTCTTTCTTTGGCTTCTGCTGGCCCGATAACTGGCATCTCCACAATTGCACTCTTTGTCATTGTCGTGGAAGCTGCGAGAGAAGAGGGGCCTCGTGCTGTGCCGGACAGCAAGCAGGTCACCAGACCCCTTGCACTTGTGAATCCGAAGCTTGCCAGACGCGTCCTCGACACACTGCCACTTCTGCAAAAGCCAACGTGAGAGCAAGTTACCCATCCCGAGTCAGGTGTTCCTGATTAAAGACTGCTGCTTTTGTTTTTAGAGCCCTGGCGGCACCCTTAAAAAGAGCCAGGGACGAAAGGCCAGCTTTTCAGTGACCCTGGAATACGTTGACTCCTGTTCTCTTAGGTATTTCCTTCACTGCAGGCAAATACAGATGCCCACAAAGTCATGGGAAATCAGGGCTACCTCAATGACACCAGAGCCAAAAATTGATACATAAATCCTCAGCATCCAGACTAAACAGAGTCTTGAATGAAACACGTAAAAGCCCTTACTTAACTCACCAAGCCACAGAGCACAGCTGTCAGGGCTGTTTTCACCAGACCCTTCTTTTTCTGGAAAAACAAACGTGGCTGCTTTGTTCTCGGTCCTTGAATTTTCTAATGCGAGCCCGGGAAGTAGTGGCACATGAGGAAGACAGAGATGAGTTTAATCTGAGCCCATCACGGGGAGAGGCGAAGCTCATACAGCCCAGACGTTAGCAGATGTGCCAGGCTTTCTCTGTGCTTTTTCTTATCCTTCTACAAACAGCGCACAGCCAGCAAAACAAGCTGCTCCCTAAAGAGGCAAAGGTTCACCTCCCCGGAGACACGCCTGAGGATCTGGGCCTGGGTTTTCTAGTTCGAGCTTTCTCTCAAGACAGCCGCAGAGCTCGCAGGCTAAATTCCGGAGGAGTATGCCCCAGGATCGGGTCTCAGTGCCCCCCACCCTGTTTCGTGAGTATCAAACCTGGCTGCAATAACAGCGCTTTGCCTGGGGGTTATTTCATGTGATCCTTTATAACTGACTTAAAGATCTAATAACCTTCCTTTTACTTTTCACTTTCCCCTTTCTCCCTCCCTAAAATGTTAATCTGGCAAATAGGAAGAACAATGACTTTTATTTTAAATTGATCGTGTTTGTTACAACATGCTACAGTGTAGTATTATCAAACTTGTGTCTTTTTTTTCCCTTCCATGTATGAGTGTCACCTGTGTAAAATTTTTATTGATATTCTTTTCTTTAAACAGACACATTTCTAAACTGTGGCCAAAGCAATAATATTTGTAAAATTATGCGTTTGTTGTGCCAGTTATATATTTTCTTTCTTTTTTTTTTTTGCGGTACGTGGGCCTCTCACTGTCGTGGCCTCTCCCGTTGGGGAGCACAGGCTCTGGGTGTGCAGGCTCAGCGGCCATGGCTCACGGGCCCAGCCGCTCTGCGGCATGTGGGATCTTCCCAGACCGCGGCACGAACCCGTGTCCCCTGCATCGGCAGGCGGACTCTCAACCACCGCACCACCAGGGAATCCCAGAAAACCTTCCTTAGTTTTATAACCACAGTGCATTAAAATTTTTCTTTTTTCCTTTTTTTTTTTTGCCCTGTAAGAGCTGAAGGGACAAGTAGATTCCTGTAGAACACAAAAATATAGGCAAAATTTTTAGTGACTTAGCGTATTTGGATTACAACCTGCATTTTCCCATTAGCCAAATTCCTTGTTGATTTCCTATGGGATAGAGATGAAGAGAAAGTGTGTTTCTTTCCTGAAGAGTTGAATTTAACCACACGTAAGGTCTGGCATGGTCCTTGGCATGGATGATGTATCATACAAACTCAAACAGACATACATATATGCATGCACATGTACACACACGCACACACACATATACCCACGAACGGCACATACATACATATACCCACATACATTCTTGTAAGAAACAGGAGCCACTGACAAAAAAGCCAATTATTTTCTGTACCACGGACTCTCTGAACAAGTCATAGACCCTATTAGATAGAGTAATTATCTAGAGGCTTTGAAAACCTTCTCACTGGCAAGCATACTAGGAATTTTAATGAAATATAATTACCACACACTGGCCACAGTCATCTCAGTGTCCGATATCATGACAGTTTTTACGGCTGAGCAATCAAACCTGGAAATAGTGGCAACTAAACGGTCATCTTACTTAGAGAGTTTATAGAGGGAGGCGGAGAAAGAGAACTTTTAAAAGAATTGCATGGACATATATACCCTACCAAACGTAAGGCAGATAGCTAGTGGGAAGCAGCCGCATAGCACAGGGAGATCAGCTCCGTGCTTTGTGACCACCTAGAGGGGTGGGATAGGGAGGGTGGGAGGGAGGGAGACGCAAGAGGGAAGAGATATGGGAACATATGTATATGTATAACTGATTCACTTTGTTATAAAGCAGAAACTAACACACCATTGTAAAGCAATTATACCCCAATGAAGATGTTAAAAAAAAAAAAAAAAAGAATTGCTCTGAAACACGCTGCAAGCCATTTACAGGCTCTAAATAATGAGATGACTTTGCGTTGCAGAAGAGTTGCCAGAGTCAGATGAGAGCCTGAGCTCAGGCGAGGCTAATGCGACGTGGAATCAGCCTCAGAAATGAGCTTCGTCACGTCAGCGCCCTCCCGAAATACAGATGGCACACTGCCTCGCTTTCACCTTGTTTTTGGACTTTATCGGTAAATCAGTTAATGGTCAGATCCAGTTTTGTCCATCTTCTCGAACCACTCACTCCTGCAAATTCCGTTTCTGATCTCTGGGACACCATCTCAATCCTCCTCCTGCCTCTCTGACGTATGAGTCTGTGCTGATAATTTAGTGCACATTTATTCCGCAAATATTTCTGTACATCTAGTGTGGGCGAGGCGCTCGATAAAACTATTTCAATAATTCCAAAGTTATTATTATTCCATTTTAGCCTTTCCAACTACACTGAAACTTGGGATGAAGGGCAAGGACCAAGTCTCTTACTCCTGAATCGTTCCCTGAAGTTAGCTCAGCATTGAATCACTCCATTTAACAATTATGTCTTCGTGTTTTTGATGGATTATATGTAACTTAAGGTAAATCACACCTGATGAAGAAGAGAAGGTTGGCTATTTTGGTTCAAGGAATCATGTGTGCAGATGTTTGGGTGGCATCCAAGCTAATGAGAAATGTCACATTATCATCACCTATTAAACTCTTACTCGATATAAGGTACTGGTGTAGAGTGCTTTATGTAAAGATTTATTCATTTAATGTTCACAATAACCTAAAGTGCTACCATAACTCATTTATTGGAGTAGGGTTTTGTAGTAGTGAATATCACCTATATTCTGCCTGGGACTTGGGAGGGGCATTTCATACCCATATTGATGTGGCTTAGTGGAAAAGTCTGGACTTTCAAGCCAGAAAAGCCTGGATTTGAATATCAGCTTTATCTCATTGCTATGGGGCCTGGGGCAACTCAGCTACACAATCTAAGTTTCTGCAGGGTCATATGAGCACTAGAGATAACACATAGGAAGAACCTAGCACATGGCAGGCAATCAACAAAGGTAGCTGCTATTATTCTTATTCTTATTATTGTTACACACAGTTTATTATTTAAAGAATTTGATCTAATGTAAACTTGATGAGAGGTAGCCATTTTTAATGGAGATAAGTATTGGGTTAGGGATCTGAAGACCTCAATTTTAATCTTCCTTTGCTGCTAACTCTATGGCCTTGAGCAAACTGCAGAATCTCTTTGTTCTTCCAGATTCCACATCTGGTAAAATAATACTTGCTCCTCCTGGCTTTAAGGATATGTCATGAGAATAAATTGCTGAGTGTTTTCAGAGTTCTGAGGAAAAGATGCACTCCATGAATCCAGAGCACAACTATTATAATTGACCTTTAATAAGGCTACCCAGTCCTTGGGCAAGTTACTGTTCCCTGGCTGTAAACTGTCTTAAGTATAGTAATTAGGATTTAGTGGGGAGACTGCGAGCTTTGAATCACACAGATCTTGGTTTGAACGCAGACTTGTCACCCTCCTAACTGTGCGACTTCGGTCAAGTTACTTTCCTGTCTGAAACTCATATTTACAATGGGCATAATATCTATTTTTTAGAAGAGTTTTCAGGTGTAAAATGTTCCATGTAAAATGCTCAGCATAGTATGAGATGGTGATAGAACTTTGGTTACTTCCCTTTCCTGAAGTGACCACTAGAGGATCATTATAGTTTCTACGTTTTGAACTGTATATATTTCTCAGATTGACTAAGAATGTTCTGTATTCTTATTTAGACCCACTTATACCCATTTTCATGAGGAAGAAAAAAACTTTGGCTACAACCTGTTCGAAGATACACTGCAATGAAAGCTTAATTTTACACACATGCACACACACACATTAGTTTTCTATTATTATACATCTTACTACATGGATTTGGTCCTAATTCGGGTCAAATCATATTCTCTGAGATGCAACCACAATACAGTAGTTTTCTGATAACCTGATTATCCTTTAAGCCAGTGCCAACATCATGGAAAGCAGTTACCTGCATGTGGACATGTGTTTAGAATTTTCATCTAGGGTGAGGGTGGGCAAAATGGGTGAAGGGGGTCAAAAGGTACAAATTTCCAGTAATAAAATAAATAAATCCCCGGGAGTGTAATGTACAGCATGGTGACTACAGTTCATAACACTCTACTGCACATTTAAAAGTTGCTAAGAGAATAAATCTTAAAAGTTCTCATCACAAGGAAAAATATTTGGGATTGACCTATGTACGCTACTATGTATGAAGCAGATGGCTGGTGAGGGCCTACTGTATAGCACAGGGGGAGGAAAAAAGAAGGTACCATCTGTTTGCAGGACATATATTAAGTTAACCTTAAAAATGCATTCCAGGGACTTCCCTGGTGGCATAGTGGTTAAGAATCCCCCTGCCAATGCAGCCCTCGTCCGGGAAGATCCCACACGCCGTGGAGCAACTAGGCCCGTGCGCCACAATTACTGAGCCTGTGCTCTAGAGCCTGCGAGCCATAACTACTGAGCCCGCATGCCATAACTACTGAAGCCCACGCGCCTAGAGCCCGTGCTCTGCAACAAGAGAAGCCACCGCAATGAGAAGCCTGCGCACTGCAACGAAGAGTAGCCCCCGCTTGCCGCAACTAGAGAAAAGCCTGCACAGCAACG